TCATAGGATCTCACAGAGGAGTCAACAGGTGGAAAACTCCTCTGGGCAGTCGGTTCATAGCTGGTGTGGAGCCCCTCACCTCCTGCCAGGATCTGTGATGATGCAAATTACCTTGAAACAACGGCAGGAGCAGGATCCCAGGTTTCGGCTGCTCACGGCTGCTTCCTGCTTGGGAAAATATGAAGAAGGGTGTTTGTGCCTGAAAGCTTGCAATTAAAGACATTTTTTTGCAAAAATCTTGTTGGTCCTGATTGCCTACGAGTCCTGATTACCTTTTCCTCTAAACCAATACGGCTACAACCTGGATATACTTGCCCCAACCAATGCACCCAGCTGGGAGGGGTTAGCCAGGGAGGAAGCTGGGGTGCTCAGGCTCCGGCTCCGATTTGTTTTCAGGATTTGGCCTGGGGTTAGTCTGCCGATTGGTTGGTCATTTCTGCAATGCCCTCTGTGGCAAACCCCCCGTCACATGGCACAGGGAGGAGTCCTCCAGGAAAGGATGCTGCCAACAGCCTGGATCACCGCGCCTGCCCCCAGAAAGCACCTCCATCGCTTCACACCCAGGTATTTCCTGCGATGCTCTTCAGGAATCACTTTTACAACCAAGCACTAAATCGGTCAGTGACGTGTTTCGCACCAGGCACGCGCGCGTGGAAACGGGCCACGCTGAGAACGGCTCCAGACAATGTGCCGCCACCCTGCCAGGCGGTTATAATGCAGCATGCCCCTTGGGACGGCCTGGCAGTCAGGCTCCCTGCACACAGCTCCGCAAGGAAGGGCTGCTGGGTCCCTTCCCTCAAGACAACGTGACTCTCCTGCGGCTGGGCCAGGGCCCCAGGCAATGCCAGACCCACTGTCCACTGGCCTAGCAAGCCAGCACCTCTGAATTATTGACTCCCATTTGCAGGAACTTGCATTTCTTTCCTCTTTTTTGCCAAGTCACTCCGATAGCTCTGCAAACAAACCAGGAGAGACAACAACGCAGGCGCTGGGGTGGCTCTAGTCTAGTCAGCTGTAATGCAATGCAACAAGGCATTTACCAGTCCCTTCCAGCAGCAACGCGCCTGCTACCAGTGCCTGACCCAGGAGCCGAGCACGTTCACAGGGTAGTTTACCATCGTTGCCCCCACTGGGCTCTGCTGAGCTCTGGAGGGCTTCTTCTCCCTAGAAAGGGGGGACTATTGATGCACACCCTACTGACATTTAGCCAACGTGGCATCTAAGCCTACTCAGAGCAAATCAGGATGACCTGGGTTGGTCGCAGAAGTCTTCTCTACACTAGAGCTTCCAGTGCTGCAAGCAGGGCTGCCGCTCCTGCAGTGGGATTTTGGAAAGAAATGTCAGTGCCGCAATGGGCCAGGCTAGTTCTGGCCATCGGCAGCGAGATAAATGGCTGATGCCAGCTTTTGAGAGCTCAGGTGCTTAAGGGAGAGTCCCACGTGCAAGTCCCAGATGAAACATCCTGGAGTGCGAAGGATGCCACGAGCCACTTGCAGAGCGGAGCAGGGAAATTCGTCCCCGGCTGGGTTACCGCTTCGGTTCCCAGTTGCCTCTGGCTCTGCCCCCTTTGGACGCCCTTCCATCGGTGGGTGCAAGATGCTGCAGGATGAGCACAGGCATGTCTTTCCTGCCCCGTGAGCCGACATGAATAAATGTGTGAGCTTCGCCCCTGGCACTGCCTTTGCTATGGGAAAGTCAGTGAGTCCTTGACTGCAACTTCTTTGGGACACCCTGAAAACAACGGGGTCTGTAGGAAGGGGCTCCAGCTCCCTTGCTCAGCTTGGGGTCTCCCAACTCCCCCTGTTCCCAACTCCTCCATCCAGCTCAGCCCATGCCTTGTGGCTGCCTGGATCCAGAAAACCCAGAGACCCAGGAGAACCTCTTGGAGGACTTTGGAGAGCCATGTGCAGCTCCTTGGCACCACGGCATGGGAAGCAAGAGCCCTGATGTGGCCTTGCTGCAGCAGACAGCGGCTGCAACCCCTCATTTGTCCCACGAGCGAGAGCAGCCAGGCCCCAAGCGGTCAGCCCAGATGGTGTCGATGCCTGGTGTCAAGCGTGGCTAAGGATGCATCCCCGCACCAGGCGGGTCAGCCAGAGAGAAGAACCAAAAAAAGCCCCAACCCAGCTGCAGTGGTTTGAGCCAGCTGTGCAACGCTGAGCCCGAGACGATGGGAATGCATTCCTAAAATAATAAATTACAAATGGGAGAGGAGATGGGTGGGGAGGAAGGGTATTTTATCACGCCTGCTAAATGCATTCAAAAGGCAATAAACTGGGTTTCATGTGACATGCCATTCTCCCCTGCTTTATATAAATCTCAATTTTCCCAAATACAAAAGGTGTAAGCGAGGCCCTGGGCCAAGCCGCCTGCTCAGGACTGATATATATTTTTGCTTTTATAGCCTTTGCCCCAAGCACTCATTTCCATTTCCGGAGGGCTCCAGCAGAAGCTATTAGAGACGGTAACGTTATCACGCGACGTATGCAGCGAAGTCCATCAGGTCACCCCCAGCCAAGGTTGGCAAGAGAAAGACGTCCACGTGCTCAGAGGAGGCTGAAAGCAAGTTATTTGCATGCTGAATATTTCTAATCACTGGATGACGTCAAGAGAAGCTGAACATCTAGCGCGCTCCACCGCCCAGCGACCTTTCCAGCAGACACGTCCCCTTAGCACAATACGAAGCACCTTGACAAAACACAGTCAGTGGTGAACATACCAAGAGGGACACGTGCAATGCTTTCCCCCCTAAATTTATTCTGACTACTGAACGTGCAAGTATTAAAAAGCCTCTAGCCAACAACTCTTGCGTGCCCCGTCTCCCCGCATTGTTCCCGCACTTGCCGTCTTACCGAGTCCCGGCTGCTTTGCTTCACTTGGGTCAGGTCACCAGATGCTAACGCGGCAATGACAAGCATAAGCTTGCTGTCGGCCTGCTCAAGGCAGCCTGGACTCAGCAAAGTTCGTGCCTCCGCTGACTTCAGTGGGATTTCACCAGGACGTAGGACGTGGCTTAGTACCCCCCCCGCTCCGAGCTCCCACCTGCATTCATCAAAGGATGCTGCGTGGTGAGCTGGAGCGCCCGTGCAGCTCAGAAAAAAGCCTGTTATACAGATGGTTTCACTGAACGTAGCCAAGTGCACGCGGGGTTAAGCACCGCTTGCGTACTGCAGAGAGAAGCGGGCAAGCCCGGCGAACCTGTATGGTTTTGAGGCTTTTATAACAAGCTGCTTTTAACTCCGGCCCCAAACGTACCAAGCCGTTTACCCCAGAGATTAAAGGCCTCTAGCTATCATGAAGTGCTAGGCAGTCTGGCAAATGCCCGTGGAGGGAACAGAGCCAGGTAGCCTGCCGTTATTTCCATGTGCAACGCTCCAAGGGTGTTTTCATTCATGAGAGCAGGCCAGGGAAAGCCAAGGGCAAACTGCAAGTGATGCTCACCCTCCACCAGCTGTTTAGCAGGCTGTTGAACTCACTGGTCTCTGTTTAAATCCTAGCAAGCTGGCGTCCGCGTCACCAAACACGTCTACAGCTCACTTACGCGGGTGCTTTGAACAAGCATCCAGATGCCCTTGAAAACCTGGCCCCGTGTGCTTGAAGCAGGTGTGCGAGCAGAGGGCGAGGAGAGGACAGAGGCAAGGATGCACGTGCAAGCGCTGGGTAACCTTGTGCAGGTCCTCCAGCAGCTCCTGCGACAGCCTGGACAGGCATTTGCTGGGGATGGGGGACACTGGAGTCCAGTTCCTGCATGGCTCAGCTAAAGTCAGGACGTGACATTCGGTCTCGGGGGTGCCAAGGAGACCCTGCCCCAGGCTGTGGAGCAGACACTTCTATGTCCCTCCTCCTTCCCAGAAGCTCCTTGCAGAGGATCCCTGCCCGGCTGCCCTCTCTCATGCCTGCCATTGCCGCGTGCTTGAACCGAGACTAATGTAGCGCAACGACCGTAAGGAGGAGGGCTTGATCTTGCCCCTAGGTCTCTGTGCGACTGCAACTGCACCAGCTTCAGGATTGACCGACAGCCCTTTTTAGACCTCTCTGGTCATCCATAAATGCACATTTTAGCACTGACCCGCTGCCGTTCCAGGGGACCCCAGGGAGGCAGGAGCCAAACCCCTTTTCTCCAACACGGGTATTTCAGAAGCAAAACCCTTTTAAGAAATAAAATCTTACCTACAGTCTAACAAGCCAGTGCCATCCTTACACAAAGAAGCTTCTTTCTACCAGGAGAGCTGCTCAGAAAGAGGGACATGTTTTCACTGACGTAATTTGTTAAAAAAAATCTCATTTTTGTCAAATGTTTTCAAGGCCCCCTTCCCTCCACCAGCTCTGATGATCAATCCTGCGACGAAGCACCACGTTCACCCTGGAGAAGCTGCTCTGATCGGACCAGCAAACACGAGCTTGTGTTTTAGAAGGAAAGCCTGGGTCACTTTCCAGCCAGCCAGTCGCCTGAGCGTGGCACGAGGGCATTTTTTGTGAAGATGGGCTGTCGTCGGCACACACTGTAACCCGTTCGATCACGGGGAGCAGAGCACTGCAGCCGTGGGACATCTGCACTGCGGTCTTGCCTCTGCAGGTTGCCTTTGCACCAGGCAGGGCTGCGTGCAACCCTGCAGACCCCTGCCCAAGTCAGGAGGGTCTCCACTCACACTGGTGCAGCTAAAGCAGGCATGGCTTACTGTCGGGGAACATACCTGAGAAAGGAGGCCCGGCGCTTCCCTCCAGGACTAGATGGGCCACTGGCTGTGAAACCAGTTCAGTGGTTTTGCTTTCTAGTGACAGGAAAGCCAAGGGAGAGGGACACATCATGTGTCAAGACCACCACCAAGGCAAGAGGCTGGTGTCCTTGGACAGGACGGGGCTAACGAATGCAGGAGACGTCTGTGAGTGCCCAAGCACCCGGGGATCCCTGCAGATACCAGGGAGGGGGTGCCCAGCTGCTGCCAACATCGCGCCCTGATAACAGATGCGAATTCATGAAAGAAACACAAACAGTGGGAGTGAGGTAATGGCAAAGATTTCATTAGTGCAATTAACATTGATAATGGTATGTTCTTTAATAGAATTTAAATAAGGCTTTGAATAATTACACACACTAAAACTAACATCCCATAACCTTATTCCGCATGGAAAAGCAGCAGAAACAACCTTCTGTACTGTACAAGGTCTGATTATGAACAATTACATTCAAGAAAAGATGGATTCCCTCTTCCCCCCCTCCCCACCCCCCCAAAAAACGTTTGTTGCATCGTCAGTGTTAATGTTCGTTTGCTCCCTCGGTGCGAGAGCGAAGAGCAGAGACACAGTACGGAGGCCCGTGGGTTTGGCCAGCTAAAAATACCAACTAGCACTTCCCTACCTGGGGTCTCTCCCCATTTCTTTAGTGATGGAAGCTCGTGGAAAGAGCAACTGGATTTTCTACGTGGAGGAAGGGGATTTCCCCTCTGCCCACCCAAAATAATTGTGCATAATTATGGAAGCCGGTGGGGGGGAAAGAAAAAAAAGACATGGGCATGTGCGTTTATGGCTCACATTCTCCATTAGAAACTACACACGAACAAAGGGGGCTGGGAAGGGGGGTGGGGAGGCAAGAACCAAAGCAGCATATGAAATAGTAATATACTGTTTCAAAATCTGCACCGTCCTGCAGAACCAGGATTTATAATTTATTTGTACTGTTCTCAACAGATCCAATCTATGCTGGATATGTAAAAAACGCCAGACAGTCACCAAAAGAGCAACCAACCAACCAACAAAAAAAAGGAAGAACCCCTACATATTGTAAAGTTTGTTTTTAAAAAAAAAAAAAGAAAAAAAAAAAGAAAATGCCAGCGAAAGCTCAGAAAAATTTGTCATCGATTCTGAAATGAGGCCTCGTGACGTCATCTGGGTTGATGAAGACGGAGATGGATTTCCCCGGGTTTTCAGTCACTAGCTGTTGCAGTTTTTTGGCTAACCGGTCATCGGGCTGGTTGGAGTCCCCGCCGTCCGACTGCGGGGAGGGGATGCTGGTGGTGCTGCCTCGCCTTTGGAGCTCGAGCGTGAGCCGGTTGGCCGCCTTGACGTGCTCGATGGCAGTTCGGAGGTGTTCGGTGGGATCCGAGCGGACCGAGGACAGCTTCCGCGCGTGCAGCATCACCGTCTCCTCGGAGAGGTGCTCCAGCATGTTGCACTGAGGGATGAAGTAATTGGGGCACATCTTATTGACCAAGCAATGCTGCAAGTCGTCGATGAGCCCCAGCAAGAAATGGGCAGCATAATCCTCTTGGGCCAAGTAATTGGCGGGTAGCCTGTCACAGGCCCAGAGCATCATGCTCCGCAGGTGATACGGACTGATGGCTTTGGGCCGGGAGAGGAGTTTGATGATGATCGCCTTGCAGGCCTGGTAGGCTTGCATGAGGCTGCTGGAGATGCACTTTTTCAGCTGCACTTCGCTCCTGGCAAACGACAGCCGCCACTCGTTGTCCTTCTTCCCCTTGTAGGAACACGCAGGCACGAGGTAAAACCCACTGATGACTTCCTCCTCCGTAATCTTGCCGTCCCAGAAGTGGTTCTCCATCAGCCAGCTCTGGGCCACGGCCGGCCAGCCTTTGAAAGACACCACAGGGACAATGTCATACAGCATCCGGCTGCTGCCCACTCCCAAGATGATGGAGATGATCGTCCCGTTCTTCTCCACCTTCTCTACCTTTGGCATCCCACGCTGCGGCTTCTTTTGGATCTCAGATAGGACGATGCTGATGGAGTCGTAGAACCAGTCCGCCACCTTCGTCGGGGAGAAGAAGTAATTGGTAGCCCCGTTGATATGGTCCACGATCGTGCAGCAGTCTTTCCACTTGCTTATAGTGCCCTCGTCAAAGAGCCGAAGACTGAGCCACGAGTGGCACAAAGCCGAGTGCCGCATGTCCAGCGTGACCGGCTGGTTTCGGTCGTGCAGCTTCAGAGCAGGCACCAGGAGGGTGAAGTCCATGTCGTAGTCTGTGCCACGAGCGTACACGTTTAACTCGTCGAGGTCGAGGTCCACCACGCCCTCCCGGACGCCGCCCGAAAGCAACAGGTACTCGTTGGCTACTGGGAGCTTTTGGTCCAGTTTCTGCACCATGCCTGCAAGAGAAAAGAGAAGTCATTGCAGAAAGCAGCAGGGATTTGGGGATATTGCACTTAAGGCACATTAGAAGACTGCATGCATCAAAGAGAGCATAAAACAAGCACAGGAACCCACCACCGCGCTTGACGGAGATGTTAGACGTGATGCCTCCTTGTCAAGTGCAAAGCCAGCCCCTGTTCCCATGGACCTCAACCCTGGGGTAGGGTATTAGAGTAAAACAGGTCAGGCCCAAGCAATATACTTAGCAATATGGAAACAGCGTAAAAGGCATGGGCACACCACCCAGTTAGTTCTAGGTCTAAACTCAGCCCTCTTAGCCATCCTCAAAACCAGCATTGCAGCTATCTAGATATCCTGGCATCCGTCACGCTGGTATCCACATATGTCCGACCCACTAGAAATGAAAAAAGAGGATATGAACACACTCCTCTCCATCCTCCCACAAGCCGATGGGGTGTGTCGCATCTACTGCATGCACCAATCCAGCTGTGGACGTGCACATATTTTTGCTTGCATGTAAATAAGAACTCCAAAAATGCGCCCAATTCAAAACCCTGCCAAGTGCCCCTTGATACCAAACAATACGGAGGTAAACAGACTATTTCAACTTTTCTCTGAGCCTAATCGGCATATAAAATGAACTTCAAGAGATTTTACCACCTTCAGCTCTCCTAGGAAATATCAACTTTCATTTCTGCCCGGGAGAACTTTTACAGTCTTTTCTCCCATGCCTGAAGAAGGGTGCTTGTGCCCGAACGCTTGCAATTAAAGCAATTTTTTTTGCAAAAATCTAGTTGGTTTAATAACAGATATCACCTCTACCATGAATCCTGACTCCTTGCTACCAACACACTCAGACCCCACTTTGCTTCTTAGTAGGGAGCAGAAAGCAGAGCAGCAAATCAGGCAGGGAGCACAGAGCAACAGCTGGGTAGCTCTCAGGGTGGGCAGGGGGCTTAATTTAAGGCGAGAGGTCTGCTTCATGCCTGGGGCTTGGGTGAGGGACATCACGGAGAGGATCCTGGCCTACATCCAACCTGCAGACCAGTGCCCCATGGCTGTCATCCACGTGGGGACGAATGGTGCGGCCAGGGGCAGCCCTGACCGCATTATGAAGGATTTCAAGGCTCTGGGGGACAAGCTTAAGGAGACGGGGGGCAGGTGGTATTCTCCTCTCTTCTTCCAGTGAGCAGGCAGGACGGAGACACGGGGTCTGTGTTGGCCAGGTCAACCAGTGCTTACGCAGCTGGTGCCTCCAGGCAGGCTTTGGGTTCCTAGATACTGACCCATGCGTTCGGGCAGGGGACTTGCTGGGGCGGGATGGGCTTCACCTCTCTCCTAAAGGCAAGCGTGTCTTCTCTTCCAGGTTGGCTGATCTCGCACGGCGAGTTTTGAACTCACCTCGCCGGGGAAGGGGGCCGCGGAAGACGAGGAGACATCACCCGAGCAAGACGGGTGACAAATGCAAGGAGTGCCCAGGTAAGAAACAGGGGTCTGGACAGTCTCCCAAATCGGGGGGTGGCACACGCAGCCAGGCAGGGCCTTAAATGCCTATGTACCAATGCTCGTAGCATGGGGAAACAAACAGGAGGAACTTGCCCTCGGAAGAGCCAGTTCAGACCCAGATGTCATAGGACTTACAGAAACGTGGTGGGATTCATCCCACGACTGGGCAGTCAGCATTAGGGGCTATCGGCTTTACAGGGGGG